TGTAAATTTGATATTTTACAATAAAATTTATTTAATTTTGTAGGCATGTATATCTCGACATGAGAAAACTATAAATTGTTTGTTCATATAGACCTTTATTTTATGATATGTACTACGAGTATTTAATATTTCTCGTATGTATGAGGCTACCGGGGGAAATTTCAGAAAAATAATATAACGATTATAAGATAATATATCGTTATCATCTCTGACTGCCATCCATCTGGACTGCCGAGAGGTAACAGTCAACGACATGTGGGAGCGGTTGAGTCATAGATCGATACGATACTTCATTTACAAACAACACAACCCGTTTATTATATAATTAACTTACAATAAAACTACTATTGTCACGAAGGGTTTAAGTCTTTGTATATTTCGGCGCGACGAGGATGGTTTGATGTACCGCTGACCGGATATTGTATTCTAAGAACAGTTCTCGAACAGGAAACGATGTCCGATGAATGCAGATCGGAATTTCCGAAGTTTCTCTCAACGTAGGTATATAACTTTCGTAGGATACCTCGGCAAAGGATGAAGATGGAACCTTGCGAGAAATACCCAGCGAGGGGCATAGCCTGGGCTTAAATATTTTGTGGTCTCGCAAATCGTTGCTTTATTGGTTATTAATCCTCTTTCTCAGTTTTGCATTTGGTCTTTGTTACCAGTTGAAATTGGACCAGATCCGTTCCCGAGAAGACGATTGTTTATAGATATATTTTGACACCGTCTTTCATTCGGTGTTGAACGAACCTTTTACCTTAACTAACATTTTCTTTTTTTGTTCATGTTGGTTTATAAAGAACTATCAGACCCCGCCACGCGTTGTTGTGGCTCAAAATGTATCTATTATAAATGTATAACACTTCCCCCGTGGGGGGGGGGAAATTTTTCGAAAAATTTCTTCNCGTATGTGTGAGGCTACCGGAGGGGGAAATTTCAGGAAAATAATATAACGATTATAAGATAATATATCGTTATCATCTCTGACTGCCATCCATCTGGACTGCCGAGAGGTAACAGTCAACGACATGTGGGAGCGGTTGAGTCATAGATCGATACGATACCTCATTTACAAACAACACAACCCGTTTATTATACAATTAACTTACAATAAAACTACTATTGTAACGAAGTGTTGAAGTCCTTGTATATTTCTGCGCGACGAGGATGGTTTCATGTAATGTACCGCTGACCGGATGTTGCATCCTAAGAACAGTTCTCGAACAGGAAACAATGTCCGATGAATGCAGATCGGAATTTCTGAAGTTTCTCTCAACGTAGGCATATAACTTTCGTAGGATACCTCGGCAAAGGATGAAGATGGAACCTTGCGAGAAATACCCCAGCGAGGGGCATAGTCTGGGCTTAAATATTTTGTGGTCTCGCAAATCGTTGCTTTATTGGTTATTAATCCTCTTTCTCAGTTTTGCATTTGGTCTTTGTTACCAGGTGAAATTGGACCAGATCTATTCCCGAGAAGACGATTGTTTATAGATATATTTCGACACCGTCTTTCGTTCGGTGTTGAACGAACCTTTTACCTTAACTAACATTTTCTTTTTTTGTTCATGTTGGTTTATAAAGAATTTAATTTAGTAATTTTTCTCCCTTTTTGCCATGTAGTTTTAATATTAAAATAATTTTATTTTTTCCTTTTTCACTTATAATTTAGTTTCCTTAATTTTAATTAATCGCGAAGATCAAAATTTATGTTCTGATATATAGTGAAAAGAATGTTTTTTATCCCAGACCAGGCCTTCACATATGTGTGTCCAATAAAATTTGTTAATTATGATTCTGGAAGAAATCCATTGACTGTTTATTTATTAGAAAACTGACCAATGGAAGTTACACAAAATCTCAATAAATCTATAGTATTGACCCTCTCGTCGTGTCCCGTGTACCATAAGATTAAAGATAGACTCTTATTTGTCTTCTTTAGAGTAGTGTTCCTTTGTAAGGATTGCAGCTCAAAAAATGCCACCAATACTCGTTTAAATGGACTGCTCCACTAACGATGCTCTGTTAACGAGAGTCCTGCTAATGTAAAACGTAGGGGAGAAAACAGGGAACGTGGGTGAGAAACTTAAGAGAAATGTTTTCTTATCCAGAGTTCTTTTAAGTGTACTCGACTGTATTTATGAATCTTGGCATCTGTCTGTCACTCTCGAAATTATTTCCCATTTTCCCGGAACGTTAAGTGTCTATTCAGTTAAGTTCCTGTTGATTACTATCAGTTTTTAGTCAGACGGCCGGACGACCGATAGGCCCACCAGTGGCCAAGCCACTGGTGGGCCTATCTACATTCCCTGAATATTGGGAGTTCGGTCGTGGGTTCACGCCTTGCTGGGACGGGCTGGCCACGTGGAGTTTTTCTAGTTTTCTCCACGTCTGTAACGCCTAAATAGGGGCCAGTTTCCTTTAAAAAGACCTCCTGAAAGGCATCGCCCAAGTTTCGTGTTGCCATAACTAAACAAACAAACCGGACGATCGAGCGGTCAAGGTGGCAGCCTACCGCTCTGGGAGATTACATTTTACATTTTTTTACATTTAGTGGAGCACTCCCTCTGACCTGTAGCATTAAATGCTACTGGCTTGAAGTACTCCTCTTTTAATTAACCCTGCTTCGCATATGCTTTGCGGGTAGTTATGATTACATAGTCGCGGTCGTAGTCGCAATACATTAATACCCGATAATTCTATTTTTTACATTAATTATATTTTTGTTGAGTAAAGTATCCAGAATCGAACCCGGACGGGTTGAAAAATCCCCAGGAGTTTTCCAGGTGTTGACCCATCCGGATATGTCGGACCTCGTTCCTCGCCGCTTGCCCGCCCTATTGTGGGCCTGGCCGAACCCGTAATGAACTTGCTAATGGAGGTCCTCTTAGTACCCACAGGGCGGAAATAGTTGTAAAAAAAAATCAATTTTTAGTCAGTGGGAAAAAAATTGTAAAATTATCAATAAGTTAATTCATTTTAACAAAAATTAAGCAAAATATGACANGCAGCGTTGTGTCAAAATTTCAAAGGAATCGGTAGGAACAAACGAACATTACATTTTTATTTATATAGATAGATAGAAGATGATCCTCTTTAGTTCATTTTCACAGAAAAGCGTAATGCCTCACAGAAAAGCAAACTTAGGGCGTCGTACTAGTAGCGCCATCTGTTCGACAAAAAAGCCTTAACCATAGATGATATCATTTAATTTATATGAATGTTTAACGGAATAATATACAGCCTATGTCCACCCTGAGGTTCCATTATAAATATTGGTGAAAGAATTTTTGAAATCGGATGAGTAGTTTCGGAGATTACCTGCTGCAAACAAACTTACATACATACATATATATATACAAACATTACCTCTTTATAATAGTATAGATTTAATTTACTAATTTTTCTCCCTTTTTGCCGTGTAGTTTTAATATTAAAATAATTTTATTTTTTCCCTTTTAATTTATAATTTAGTTCCCTTAATTTTAATTAATCGCGAAGATCAAAATTTATGTTCGGATATATAGTGAAAAGAATGTTTTTTATCCCAGCCAGGCCTTCACATATGTGTGTCCAATAAAATTCGTTCATTATGATTCTGGAAGAAATCCATTGACTGTTTGTTTATTAGAAAACTGACCAATGGAAGTTACACAAAATCTCAAGAAATCTATAGTATTGACCCTCTCGTCGTGTCCCGTGTACCATAAGATTAAAGATAGACTCTTATTTGTCTTCTTTAGAGTAGTGTTCCTTTGTAAGGATTGCAGCTCAAAAAATACTCGTTTAAACGGACTGCTCCAGTAACGATGCTCTGTTAACGAGAGTCCTGCTAATGTAAAACGTAGGGGAGAAAACCGGAAACGTGAGTGAGAAACTTAAGAGAAATGTTTTCTTATCCAGAGTTCTTTTAAGTGTACTCGACTGTATTTATGAATCTCGGCATCTGTCTGTCACTCTCGAAATTATTTCCCATTTTCCCGGAACGTTAAGTGTCTATTCAGTTAAGTTCCTGTTGATTACTATCAGTTTTTAGTCAGACGGCCGGACGACCGATAGGCCCACCAGTGGCCAAGCCACTGGTGGGCCTATCTACATTCCCTGAACATTGGGAGTTCGGTCGTGGGTTCACGCCTTGCTGGGACGGGCTGGCCACGTGGAGTTTTCCTAGTTTTCTCCACGTCTGTAACGCCTAAATAGGGGCCAGTTTCCCTTAAAAAGACTTCCTGGAAGGCATCGCCCAAGTTTTGTGTTGCCATAACTAAACAAACAAACCGGACGATCGAGCGGTCAAGGTGGCAGCCTACCGCTCTGGGAGATTACATTTTACATTTTTATACATTTAGTGGAACACTCCCTCTGACCTGTAGCATTAAATGCTACTGGCTTGAGGTACTCCTCTTTTAATTAACCCTGCTTCGCATATGCTTTGCGGGTAATTATTATTACATAGTCGCGGTCGTAGCCGCGACTATGTAATCATACCGACAATTCTATTTTTTACATTAATTATATTTTTGTTGAGTAAAGTATCCAGAATCGAACCCGGACGGGTTGAAAAATCCCCAGGAGTTTTTCAGGAGTTTTTCAGGTGTTCCCATCCGGATATGTCGGGCCTCGTTCCTCGCTGTTTGCCCGCCCTATTGTGGGCCTGGCCGAACCCGTAATGAACTTGCTAATGGAGGTCCTCTTAGTACCCACAGGGCGGAAATAGTTGTAAAAAAAAATCAATTTTTAGTCAGTGGGAAAAAAATTGTAAAATTATCAATAAGTTAATTCATTTTAACAAAAATTAAGCAAAATATGACAAACTATATTCCCGAATAAGTGGATTTTATTAATTTTCGATTTATTTATTTATATTTTTAATAATAAAATGCTACTGAAAGAGATTTTTCTTTATTTGCATTTTCTATATCACAACAATTTATAAAGTTATTATTAGAAATCAAACTTTATACAATTTTATTTATTGATTAATATTTGTAATTATATAAAGTTAATAATACAAAAATTTATAAGTACTATGCTTAATATTGATATAAAATCATTAAACAGTTTATATGGTCTTCAAGAAATCACAAAATGATTCTCTCCATTTTTCCCCGACCGTACGTCCAGGACCTAATGTTAGATATTTTTTATCGGGTATTTTATATGAAGGCCAATTTACTTCTATTTTTTGCGGTGAATTTACATTCCTGATGAAAAAAAAAGTTATACAATGAATGAAAATTCCTTTAAGTGATATATTCTACAATATTTTGATAATTAACTATTATTCTCATTTTAAATACAGAGATGTTCGTAAGTTCTGCACCTACTGAATCAGAGTAGTTATGATGACCGGATGGCAGAGCGGTCAAGGTGAAAACCTACCGCTCTGGGTGATCCGGGATCAAATCCGGACGGGTCGACAAACCCCAGGAATTTTTCCGGTGGTGGTCCATCCGGATATGTCGACCCCGTTCTCTATCACTCCCTATTGTAAGCCTGGCCAAACCCATAATGGGCTTGCGAAAAGAGGCCCTCTTAGTGCCCACAGGGCGGAAAGTTCAAAATAATAATTATATTTTTAAATTCTTGATTTTTTTATAAAATTATTTCGCGGTTGTCTCTTTTATATTTTACTACTGGTATCCTGCGGGTACTAAGCTCTCTCTTCATACATATAATAGGTTTGGCCAGGCCTGCAATGCAGTAGCTGCCTAACATATCTATATGAGTCAAACTACCAATATTTTCCGAGATTTTTATCTTAACTCGAAATCAGGTGACAAAGAAAGCCAGGCCTTTACCGCTTCTGCTATTCGGTCATCCCAGAATTTGGTTATTACAGGTCACCAATAATAGAGCAAAAAGTATTGTATAATACTTACCCTGTTTTAGCAAAATTACTCCAATATTTTATCATTGCAAGACTCAAATCTTTTTCTTCATCTGTGTAATTTTCATTCAAAAAAGGCTGTCCAAAAACATAAGGAATTTCATCGCCGTGCATGACTCCCATCCATTTTGGCCAAGGATTTTTAGATGATCTATGTGTGAAGAGATACATATATAAATTGGATAAATTAGCGTTTGCAAAGCCATTCATTAACTCATTTACTGGACAGGTAAAGTATAAATCTCCGACTAATTTATCTAACGCGTCCACATAAGTATTAGATTCATTCTTGTATTTAAATTCAAGTATTTCGGTAATGTTATCAAAACTGTGACGAATTTTAGGTAAAAGGCTAAGAAATTGTTCTTTTGAAAGCGTAACTTCATCTTTCATCGGCAATAATTCACCAAATGAATAAATTAGGAAATAAGAGCCTTCTTCTGCGTTAATTCCAGCAAGTATTGGTCCTTCCTTAAAATCACCACTTGATATATATTCTAACGGAGTTTTCTCTAAAAAATCTCCATCAATTACAGGAACGAATGCAAATTCTACTAGTTCTTGGACATCAAGAACCACTTCAAGAATCTGTGAAGCAGTTTTATTTCGTAAACACTGTACCAATTCTGTAAGTTTGTTTTTGTTTCTATGACATTTCAAAGATGATGCAAATTTAAATCCGATATCTTTCATTCTAACGGGACTTGCAACAGCCCATGATGATGATGCTGACCCGCTTTGTAAAATAGCATTTTGAAACAGATGTCGGCTATGACAAGACAGTTGAAGTAAATTGACAGCCACAGCTCCTGCACTTTCACCAAATAAGGTGATTCTGTTAGGATCACCACCAAAACTTTTTATATTATTACGAATCCATTTTAATGATTCAATCATGTCGAACATTCCAGCATTTCCCGGAGCATCAGAAGTTCCAAAATATAAAAATCCAAATGGGCCAACTCGATAATTAAAAGATATTATAATAATATCTCCCTCTGCAGCTAAAATTTCACCATTGTATACATCCAATGTGGATGTTCCTGAATAAAATCCGCCTCCATAAATCCATACTAAAACTGCCGAGGAAGTTGGATAAGGATGTGGTATCCAGATGTTAAGTTTCAAGCAATCTTCATTCATGTCTGTATTAGCATTCCACATATCCGATCCTTCAAATTTACCGAATACCGTATCCAAAGTTTGCCAACAAGAATGTGGTTTTACATCAGCTTTCAATGTACCGTTCCACGGAGAAATTGGTACAGGATAACGAAATCTCAGATTTCCGATAGGAGGCTGTGCATATGGAATACCATAGAAAACATCTATTTTCTTTCCCTGGGGGGTAGAAATTGTCTTTCCTTCGATTTTACCTAATGCAGTTTCGATTACTCGTTGTGCTAATACTTTATGAATAACAAACAGTAAAAATAACATTTTTGGTGGTAGAAACCACATATTGCACATTTGAATGAAGTTTAATTCTTTTAGTGGTGAATCAGTGCTGTAAAAAATACAATAATAAATTTAATTAATCAGAATAAATTTATCAATAAATCATAAAAATTAAATTACATACACGCACATATAAATATACTATTACTAGCTGTTACCAGTGACTTTGCCCGCGCGGATTTTGCAAGCAAACCCCATTTATATTCAGTATTTCAACAACCATAGTAATTGTTATATAACACCTACCGCTGAGAATGATGAAAATTGCCGAGAATCAAACGAACTATTTTCAATTTGATCAATATTCTGGAACGTTTACAATCGTTCTATAATCGAACCAATGTGCAATAACAAATTCGAATTTAAAACGGTTCGAACATTTTTAAAATCGATATAGATAAAAATACTTATAACAATGTCTGAAATGTTATTAATTTAATACACCTAAGTACTCGATGAAGACTAAATGCTCTCCCTCTCCCGCCCGCGGGGGAATTTCGAAAAATCCCTTCTTAGTGTGCATTGCCATGGCGTACCCTACTAAAACGCAGATAAAAACAGAAAATCGCATCTAAAATAGTACAGTAGAAGCCATTCTTCCGGTTAAGACAATGCTCTACCTCTCCCCCCGCGGGGGAATTTCGAAAAATCCCTTCTTAGTGTGCGTTTTAATGACGTACCCTAACTGTGTACCAAATTTCACCTCTTTAGGTTCAGCGGTTTGCTCTGGGCGATGATAAATCAATCAGTAACTCAGTCAGGACAAGTAATTTTATATATTTAGATTAATATATATTTTTAACTATTTCCTCCCTATGGGCACTAAAAAGCCTTTTTTAGAAAGTCCATTAAGTGTTCAGTCAGGCTTACAATGGAGCGGCCCAGTGGTTAGAGATGGGATACAACATAACCTAACGGACAACCTACAAAAAATTCTTGGGGTTTTTTCGACATGTCCGAACTTGGTCTCGGGTTCTTCAGAGTGGTAGGCTGCCATCTTAACTAATGTTCAACAGCGTTTACGTTCTTATTAGCGGTTAAATAGAAGATCGAAGAAGTAAATGCCTGGAAGTAATAGTTTGCTAAGTATCCTTACTTCTTTTCGGCGAATCTCAAAACGGTTTGTCGTTTTCTACTATCAAGATCGACAGAAGAGTATCTGACTCCCCTAGACAAAGAAATTTTGGCACCCCCTACACATTGTCTATATATGTATGTATATTATCATACACAAAAACCCATATATATATGGGCGCCCGCAGAAAATTTTTTAGGGGCAAAGCTGAGGGACAAACAATTACATTAATAAATTTTTATTTAATTATTTTTGGGGTTTATTTCACAAGTAGGTTATAGAAAACAGTATTGCATCAAAGCATCTCGTGATCGAGGGTGTAAGGTTACATAGCTCAATCCCTTTTACGATTATAATTTGTAGAATTTTTTGCTTGATCCGAAATGAGGACAAGTGCCCTGTTTGTCCTCTCTGAGGATGCTCATGCATGCAGATATTTACAATAATAACATCATTATAAACATTTAAAATTTTTTTATTAATTAGCACTAATTAACGATATAACTTTTTTTTGTTTATGACTAAGGCTAGGGACCTCGTATCTTGGTGGCTCAAGTGCCGGTATTCCATTGTAATACCGGCTCTCGTGAGTGATAAAAAGAATGTGTAATGCTATGACATTGTGTAATACAGTGTATTTTGGCTTTGATTTCAAAACAAAAATTAATCTGGTGTAATTTGCCATATTTGTAAACTTTGTGAAAAGTTTTCATTAACTTAAATTTTAAATCTTGATAAGTTGTTCTTATTTTCGCTTAAAGAGTTTATTATATTGTTTTCAAATAAAATTTTGTAAATTTTAATATTATCATCCAATAAAATAATTTTAAATAAGCAATAGCTATCAATTAGTGAAGAATTATATGTACTGTACAATACGTAATAAACCGAACTCCCGATTATCCTTGCTAATTAGCGCATGGGTATGCACGGAAAACCGTAATACACGGATAATCCAATTAAATTATAAAAAAAGTATTTAGAAGTGTTAAATGAACTACAGTACATGAACAGTACATGTAGAGTTCAACTGCGTTAAAATGAAATTTAAATTTTATATTTTTATGTATAATTCTTACATTTTTTTCTAAATTAGCCTATTGTATTTTAGTTTTAGGACAAGTAGGATAATTTCTTCAAATCTGCTTGTTTATAGCACTAACTTTGCCTACTGCAAAGTAGCATTTTGGGTTAACATTTCACCTCATTTCCATCTCTTAGAATTGACGGTTGAGGGAGGTGGATGTTGTTTAAGATACTTTGCCACTTTACAATAATGCTAATATTTTGACGATGCACGGGTAACCGGAAATTCGGTGTATTTAGTAAACCTTTCAAATAATTGAGTTACAGGGTTGTCTCTTTTCCAAATTTTCCATTTTATGATATGCATTCCATGAAATAATAGGTTCGTGAACGGGAATGAAATGGGAGGCGATCTTTTATTAATACATACTGATATTATTTTTATCTTGATACGGAAAACCAGAAAACCTGCTAAAATCAACGGAGGATATTAACATGTTTTCATGATTTTGTAGATAGAATTATTCAGTTATTCGATATCTATTAATCTTTCAAAAATTTATTTCATAAGCAAGAAAAACTTAAATACACTAAACTCTTAAGTTTTATACATTTATTATTTTTATTTTTAACTTTTTTTTTGCCCTACAAGCACTAAGAGGTAGAACCAACCATGAGAATAATTCATTGTTGATTCGGCCAGACTCAATTGGGCAGCGGGATGGTGGAAGAGGAGGCTCAATATATCCGGGACAGACCACCCATGAAAAATTTCTTGGGAGATGTTCTCCAGATTTATAGTACGAATCATAATGTACAGGGTAATCACGATTAAATAGTAAGTGTTCGAAGCTCTCTGTAGAAAGAATTACTCGGTAATTCTCAGTTAAGTTTGGTACATATATTGTCCTGAGTATGCGGTTTCGATTATCGAGGAAAAAATTTACTTTAAAATTTAGCATCTAGGGAAGATTTTGGCGCTGCTGTCTCCCTTAATATATATACTATGTATGTTTTTTAATGAATTTCGGGAGTTAAGAAACAAAGTACGATAATTTTATTTTAATTACAAATGTGGATTGCAGTTTCGTTGATTTAACAAATAACATACTATCAGGCAAAGTAAGCACTGTAACTGTTACTTTCAGCTGTCGAAGAATTGCGAAGAACTTTACTAAAATTCTTTTATATCCAAAGTTCATTAGAAAAGTATCTAATATGCACATTAAGCAGACATTAAGGGCGATAGTAGAGGCTGAATTTTGTTAGTAAAATTGTTCTCCGAATATCGAAACCAAATACTCAGAACAATTTGAGATTTGTCCAACAGTTCTTTCTACCGAGAAGCCTGAACACCTACAGTTTAATTATAATCACTCTGTATAACATGATTCTTAAGTTATAAAAAATAAAATAGATTTAAATTATATCTTAATTCTGATACGATATATTTTTTAAGAAATGTTACAGAAGCTTTTTCTATTATAAGAATGGATTATTAGTTTTAACTTGTCTGAACATTTATCCTGTGTAGTTTTAAACAAAATATTTACGAATTAATCAAAACTATATGATTGTTTATATATTCCTTATTTTATAGCAGTTATATTAGTTGTGTAAAAATATTAATGGTATTTCAATAAGCAAAAACTTGAAAATAATTCTATACAGTAGCCTACTATATAAACAGACTACATAATCGCCATTATTATTGTTCTCTACAGTTCAATAAATGAACCATTTACATTCTTTATGTACTGTACCTGATCACTATTAATTAGGTAATTTGAGTTCTAAACTTTACACATTTAACATTAGTTAAATAATATATTTATACATTCATTTATTGTAGGAAATGTAATGTTTAACAATTATATAATTGATGAACTTTATAATACAGTTCTATAAAAAATTTAATAGTAATTGTAAATGACGAGATATTTGAATTGTTTACACAAAACTACAGCGTATTATTACTGTATAACCGGCTTTAATTTTGTTTTTTATGACAAAATCTCGTGCGTAAAATTCGGCCAACCTAAACGAAAATTTGGGAAATAATTTCTGACGACAATTACTCACGAAAAAGACGATACAAAAAGTTTATATCCGGATCTTTGAAACAAAAAGAAAATTTTGTAACGCAATATCATCGATAGCTTTAGTAGTTTTTTTGCATAACATATAAGACACACTGTACATTAATTAATTACTGAATCTAATTAGAAAATAGTGTGACTCTGAAGAGTAGGCTACTCGACATACGAGAATTCGACACAACTATACGTTTTCTTTTATAAACGAAACAAGCCTTTTGTAATTTAAAAGTTCACTAAGCTGCGCAATTGCGAATCTTACATTACAGATGTCTATCTATAAATACAATTTTATTAATTAAAAATTAAATTCGATTCCTTCACTGATCCCTGCTGCAAGTCTTACAATCTTCTCTCATTTTGTATTTGTTTCTTTTAAATCAGTAAATAAACCAATTAACAATTAATTTTATTTCATTTAGAATAATTGGTTTATAGATAAATATATGTTTTGTAGTAATTTAATATTATTATAGAAGACATTTTATAAGACTGAATAGACAATATTTAAAATGGTTGTTTATAGATAGTGACGTAACAATTGATCCAAACTAGCAAAGATCAAAGATCCGGCTACAGAATACAGGTTAAAGTGCTTTTCCTTGTTTAGTAAATTACGATAATTTTTTTACACTGTTTAATAATCTTTGAATTTTAGTAGAATTACAGTTATTATTTTTTTTATCGATAACTAAATTCCTTATATTAATTTCAAATAAATAATTATCTAGATTTTAATTGATTGCCTTTTAGTCCACTATTGATAATTTACTTTTTTTAATAATCTTTGAATTTTAGTAGAATTACAGTTATTATTTTTTTTATCGATAACTAAATTCCTTATATAAATTTCAAATAAATAATTATCTATCTCTATGTAAATTATAGATATAGTGAAGAATTATCTAATTAACTTTTAATCTACAATAGTCTGCAGTGATAAAATACTCTAATGGAGTTAGACATCTTTCTACATAAATGCTTAAGACGGTTTATTTAATGTTATGGCAAAAATTTTTATAACAAACTTTTGTAAATATTTGTATAATGTCTCTTTAGCTTCGAAGTTTTTTTTTTTCTAAAAGTTAATTAAATTGTTCCATTAAAAGAAGAAGGAAATTGGAATAAATCTGAAATGATTGCTCCGTGTTGATGTTTCTTTGAATCCCTATAGGATGAGATTCTGCCAATAGAGAACATGGAATTCTTCATCGTATATGAGAACCAATAGGCTTTCGGAGGATTTAAGAGAAGTGACAATGCAGAAATATTGCTCAAAACTAGTTTCTCTCTCTAGGGAATTGTTAGTATTGATTCCTATATCATCCAAAATAATTACTGATACCTGTAAAGAACAAAATAATCTAAATTGGCTTGCTAAAAAGTTAAATTTCGATCGCTCTTTATTTCTGTTATAAAATCTCTATTTTGGTAGAAAAATAACGTTAAATTTGTAGTAAAAAGTAGCAGATAATTAACAAATAATTAACTCTGTTNTAAAAATAATGCCAAATGTTTAAAATTAAACTTAACTAATTGATTCCCCATTTAAAAACTACTGCATTAAATAAAAAGTTTTAAAATAATTTCAATCATTTTTAATTCTTTCCATCCTGTGGGTACTAAAAGGGTTTTTTTTACATTTAGTTCAGTCTTAATTTTCTAAAACTTCATTCATTTTTGGTTAGTTAAATTGTGGTTTATCAAAACTTTCTAATCTTATTAAATTTAAAAATAATGCCAAATGTTTAAAATTAAACTTAACTAATTGATTCCCCATTTAAAAACTACTGCATTAAATAAAAAGTTTTAAAATAATTTCAATCATTTTTAATTCTTTCCATCCTGTGGGTACTAAAAGGGTTTTTTTTACAGGCTCTGCCGTTCATCCAAGCCCATAATGGAAGAAACCGGGTGATGAAGGATGGCGCCCGACATATCCACCATGAAAAATTCCTAGGATTCTCTGTCCAGATCGATCCCAGATCCTCTAAAGCTGTAGGCTAATGCTATACCGCCACGACTAGTCGTATATTTAAATTAATATTATAATAATATTTTCCATTCTTCTGACTTTANTGACAGCCACAGCTCCTGCACTTTCACCAAATAAGGTGATTCTGTTAGGATCACCACCAAAACTTTTTATATTATTACGAATCCATTTTAATGATTCAATCATGTCGAACATTCCAGCATTTCCCGGAGCATCAGAAGTTCCAAAATATAAAAATCCAAATGGGCCAACTCGATAATTAAAAGATATTATAATAATATTTTCCATTCTTCTGACTTTAAAAAAATCAAGTTTTGTAACAATATCACACGATTTTTATAATTTAAGAATCGTAAATTCTCTGCGCGGGTCAAATATAAGATACTAATTTAATCTATTCTCCACTCTGTTCTAGAGACTTATAAATACTTTAAATATTTCGAACAACTTATAAAAAACATCTACATAATTATTTAATAAAAATAATTCCTATCAAAGAAATAATACTTCATACAAACCTGGGAAGACAGGAACACTAAATTGAACGAACTAACTGCTGTCTGATGATCTTATTGGTCAGTTATTACTTTAAATTTCACAAAATGAGATAAAGTTTCAATATTCATGTTTAAAAATGTAAACATAATCTTTCGCTTCGGCTTACAATACTGTAATTTTATTCTTTTATCATACTTTAAAAATCAAAAATTAATTCTTGTATCCTTTTACAATTCTCAAATATAATTTGATATATAAAAATACTTTCTGTATAATTTAAATTAATTTTTTAAAGTAACTAATTAAACTCATTAATAAAATGTTTTATAAATGAGATGGTTTGATTATTGATGTCAGTGAAATATATTTTATTTAGCAGTTTCATCTTCTAGCTAAATATATGATATAAATTCCCTGAAAAATTTCAATACAACCACAAAATAAAATTAGATATGACTTATGGCCCTCACTTTGGAATTCTTTGCTGGTAAGTTCCTCTTCAGATTTTCAAAAATCATTAAACACTGGTAGTCGGTCGTGAGTTTGGGCATGGATAACGGGCTGACCACGTGGAGTTTTCCGGGTTTTCTTCACGTTTGTAACATCTAAATAGGGACCAACTTCACATAAAAATCTCCCCGGGATGCATCCCCTCGGCAGATTGTTCAAGTGTCACGTTGAAGTAACCAAATAATCCAAACTAATTCTAATAATTTCTTTATAAACGCAATATTTACGAGAACACACTTTCCACGTAGTATATACAATTTGATGACTTTATTATCACATAAAAGCAATTATTCTTGCATTTTTACAAGATTTTATTTTATTTAAACAAGTCGTATGAAGTCTTTCGAACGTTAAGGTTAGCAATTTCGATCACAAGCGGCCATCACAACCTATCCAATACGAATTACTTTTGAAATATTAATAGTAGATCAGTATTAATTAATAGTCGTTGACCGTCCTCTCTTCCGGGAAGAAGTCAACGACTACTTTTGATCGAATTAACTTCGAGTCTTTTCTGTAACAGTTCCATCTTTCTATCGTACCAGCGGTATGGTGATATTCGAATAGGAAAATTACATAATATAAGGTTACCGGCCAGCACAAAATATGTTTTAGATGGTTTTCCAGGATGGCGAATTTAAATATTGTTTTTTTTTTTTTTTTGTTTAGAGATCAGTTGGGCTTCTGCTACTGATTCGGTACTTTGATTTCTAGCTTGAATTTCAGCCCCTCAAAAATGTCCATGTAATAATCGACCCCATAAATTTGACCTGAAGAAATGGTCTAAAAAATTCGACTTTGACACGAGTATATACGGTATACGGTATATATAAATCAAATGCTATAATATATTATATTATAGCATTTGATTTTACGTTACTTACGTAAGGGTTTATCACACCAAGTGACCAATCTAACACATTTTTAAAATTCTTTCTTCCTCTATTTAAAGAATTTTTAAAATGTGTTAGATTGATCACTCGGTGTGATAAACCTTTACGTAAGAATAACCTTTGTAGTTATATAAATCAAATACTGTAATATAATATAATAGAAGAATTAGAATAACGAAATAATCTAATAATATTAATGTTTGTTTTATTTCTTGCCCTAGAAACGCTGGGCTTATCTGCTATTATATTTAATATTTTACTTTTTTCCTCTCAATATTGCATCTAATAAGAGTGTTAAGCTTTATAATCAATATTGTCTCAAATGGTAGTGGTCAATTCGACGAACGTACTTTTTTGAAATAATGTGCTATCAATATAATTGTTTTTAAATATTAGCCACTTCAAATTTATTAACATTTATTTGATCGCCATTTAAATAAACATGAATATCAAATGAATAATTTTTCGACTCAAATTAATAAAAGTCAAACTAAAAATTTTGTTGTTAATTGTTTTGCAAAAATTCTTGCAGAAATCGAAATTTTCTTTTTTCATATCTTTAATTGTGTGTTTTGAACACTAAAGGGACATTTTTTTTTCCTTACCCATGGTGGTTCGGCCAGACCCATAATAGGAGCTAGGAAATGGAATCAAGACAATTAGTGTAAAAATTGGTCGTTTGTCTCTGAGACAGAACTTTTTATTTATAAGTGAAACAAAATCTTATTTAAAATCTTTTTGAAAACTTAGGCAAAACACAGACTATATTTTCGTACTACCTTAAAATTTGTATCGATTAATCCGCTCTCATCTTTCAGTTCTTCTTCAGTTTACTATTTATTTTACCACTACTTTATCCTCTTGGAATTTCTCTATGAGACATCTTTTGCATTTATCTGATAATTCGTAATAATTAAATTGTACGTTATAGTTTGTTAAAAGCTCTTGTAGCATAATTTCTTAATTTTTCTTATTGTATCATCCGTTCTAAACCAGAGCCAACTGTATACAGTCGACCCCCCTATAAGATCATTGATTTTTCCGTTTTATCTGAATTACATGTTGTACGAGTCACTTAGATTTTACAAATACGTGTGCCGGACTGTGAATGGCTCACATATTTGTAAAATCTAAGTGACTCGTACAACATGTAATTCAGATAGAACGGAAAAATCAATGATCTTATAGAGGGGTCGACTGTATTACAATATTACACAATAAGATATATTGTGATATAATCAAATAGGGATATATTCTGATTATACACTATAACCTGTTCAAAACAGAACCTTAACTAAGTGGGAAGAATTCTTTGGAATGTTAAAATATGTTAAAAACCTGTTCAAGACGGAAACCTATCAAACCGAAAAAATATTCGATACCGGGCAAGTCCGGTTTACACAGGTTTTTCTGTATATACAGCATATATATTACTTGTAGATACAGTCACACACAGCTATTTCATTACCATTAAAACACGCGTTTCACTTGATACAGAAGTATCCAAACTTTACAACATTTTCTTTGATTATTAAAAAAAAACGTATTATTATAATAAAAAATAATGAAAAGGATCATACAAGTAAAAGTTTTATTCTTTCATAAATTTTTATATTTTTCGTATAAACTTTACATTTTACTTTTCATATAATTAATCAATAATACTAATTCCACAAATGTCGAAAAAATTCGATTACTTATGTTAAATGTTTACGGAACAACTTGGTTATTTCTATTTTGGCATTTGTTTATCAGTGGTTCCAACATCCATACAAATGCAGAAATGAATAACAAGGAAGCAAGTAAGTAGAAAAGATAATCGTATCGATTTATTTCTTCAAAATACGCTGAAACATAATTTTAAACGTCAATTTTTAATGTTTTGATATTTTAATTTTAAAAATGATCTAATATATAAATTAAAACACTTACCTATTATAGGTACTTGAAGAAATAAAACAAATCCAATAATAAAATTCGTAAATCCTATTGCAACAGGTAACTTGGTTAAGTCTACGTATTCCGTGAGGAGGATATGCTGTTCTACTCGAAGACATCCAAAGCCAATTCCAATGGCACAAAATATTATCAAGAATCCTACATATTCCCATAAATATGGAAGTGAACAGGTTAAACCTCCCAACCAGAAGAAACATATTATAACGAATTTAACTTTACTGATAATTCCAAGATCTAGAATCCAGCCGACGGCAAGTCGTGCAATAAGATCAGTAATAGCATTTGCAGGTATAAAGAAAATTGCATTAAATTTATTTATTCCTGTTTTTACTGTAAAATCTAGTATAATGGTCAACAATATAGACATATATAAGTGATAGATAGAAAATGTAAATGATATCATTAAAAATAATGGATTTTTAAAAAAATCCCAACTTATTTTTATAACTTTGAATTTATCGTTCGTATCCGATTCATTTTTGAGCGAATTTTCTGTGTCTGTAGCCATTTTTGGTTCATAATAAAGACAGGCAGCTGGCAAACACTGAAGTATAATTCCTCCGAAAATCAGAAAACTGCCTTTGATACCGTAGTTTTCGATTAGCACAGAAGATAATGGAGCAAGCACGAATGATCCAATAGACGAACCACAAGTTGCTATACCCATTGCTCTAGTTTTGTACCGATTAAAGTACATACCGATGATGACTGGATTAAAAGAATAAAATATGCCAATTCCCATACCTATAAAACACTACAATATAAATGAATTCTTAAAATTGAATGAAATTTTTCTTGACTTACCATTTATAACACCTAAAGCGAAGAGAATAACGAGAAAATTTGTAGAAAAGTAGCATACTATGCTTCCTGTTGCTGCAAGAATACTTCCAATGATTGCTATTTTCCTGATCGAAACGTAATACATCAGTGGAGAAAACATTAGACCTATATAATGTATCAAAATTTAAATAATTAAATGCGATCGCGAAGTGTGATTTATGCTTTTAATTAACAAAACAGCGTATTTGATATTGAGCTTCGTACACATTTATTTTCATACATTTTTTTTTGTTTTTTCCAGACCTTCCCTTCATTTATTGTGCTCAATGATAATTTATCTTCTATGATAATGAATAATAGGCTTAATTCATTATCAATTTGTACTTTTTTTTTAACTCTTTCCGCCCTGTGGGCACTAAGAGGGTCTCATTTTTTGCAAGCCCATTATGGGTTCATCCGCCCTGTGGGCACTAAGAGGGCCTCATTTTTTGCAAGCCCATTATGGGTTCAGCCAGGTCCACAATGGGGCTGCCGGGTGGTGAGGGACCGACATATCCGAACGGACCACCCCCCGAAAAATTCCTGGGGATTTTTCGACCCGTTCGGATTCGAACCCGGGTCCCCCAGAGCGGTAGGCTGCCACCTTGACCGCTCGGCCATCCGGCCGCTATCAATATGTACTAATAATAACGATACTTCTTCGAAATTTAATGAAATAATTATATTGTATGTATTTATACAATCTCGTGAATGTAAATAAAGTATTATAATATATGAACTTTATATAAAAACATAAATTTCATTCAATTTTTTATAATCATGACATTAATAAGTTACTATCACATTTTTGCGTTATTGATACTTAATAATACAATAATAATATTAATAATCATAATATATATATATATTAATAATCATNATGAATTCCATGTTGTACGAGTCACTTAGATTTTACAAATATGTAAGCCGTTCACAGCCCGGCACACGTATTTGTAAAATCTAAGTGACTCGTACAACATGGAATTCATATAAAACGGAATTATCAACAGTGTTATAGGAAGTCGACTGTACATATTTCGATATTTATTATATGAATAATAATAACTTTTCTTTTTGCTACTCAGCACCACGTGGAGAATTGTTTTCGAGTTCTCAGTGTTGCAATAGTAATATGATAGTATCCATAGCTGTCCACTATATCCGACTATATCCGCAGCAATAGGAAAGGTAAAACTTGATGAGGATTTTACTTATTAGCAATTGCAATGTTTCTTTTTCATATAAAACTCGTCCCTACCTTTAAAATTAAGCTTTTTGCCATTTTATAATTATTAATAATATAAAAAGTAGTTTATAATAAAATCTTCTAATAGATAGCGCAATACACAACTTTATTTATTGTGATTAATAATATAAAACTTTTTTTCAATTAAAATCTCGTAACAGTTGGGAATGTTACGCAACTCGTTGCTGGATTATTTAAATTAATTCTACCCGCTGGACTTGCAACTTTAATTAAAGCCCAGCACAAACTAAGCGATATTGAAGCAAACTGATTGAAGTGACGTCGAACGAAATTCATTTGAACATTGCAGGGTCGACCATTGATCGCCCGGTCATCGACTCGACTTCATTATATGTCATACTCTTGTGTTTTACTCTCCGCCCTGTGGATACTAAAAGAGCCTCTTTTAGCAAACCCATTATAAGTTCGTCCACAATAGGGCGAACAAGAGGTGAGGAACGGGGCCCGACATATCCGGATGGATCAACACCTGAAAAATTCCTGGGGCTTTTTTGACCCGGGTCCCCAGAGCGATAGGTTTTCACCTTGACCGCTTGGCCATCCGGCTTACGTCATACTCTTCGATGGAAAATAGGCGGTCGAAGGGATCGTCTACTTTCCGTCAAAGAGTATGACGTTGACGAATATGACTGGTATCCAAGAAGTTGGATTTTTTGGAAGACAATCTGCGACACTCGTGCGCATTTGAAAGTTTGCAAGAAAGGAACATGCACCGTAGGCCACAAAGAAGTCTTGCAACTGTTTGTGCTGTGAACTTTGTTTTATTTCAGTAATGGCAAGTTTATTTTTATAATAAATTGTTTTATTGATTTTATTGAAATTATCAAAGTTATGTACTGTACTGTACAGTACTGTAGGCAACATATCACGGCGGCAAATTTATTCTCTATCAGGTCCCCGTTTTTGTTTTTGTTTATTTATTAAATTTCTGCCAAATAGACAAGAAATAAAAGCAGCCAAAGATAACATCAACAAATAGTTATCGCTGATGGTCACCATTTTACAAACTACTTAGTGACAGTTCATAGAAGGATAAACGAAATGTTCATCGGTTCTTTATAACTATGACACGAGTGACAAGGGGCAAGATCGTCGAAAAACAGTCTCGTGATTATAAAAATCACCTGTGAAGTCTCATCAAAAGCAATCATATTGATTAGCCTGTGGCTGGCTTACAGCTCTCTCTCCTATTGTATGCTTTCAACCCAGCGAAAATAAGACTCGATATATCACTTCTTGTGGCTCAAGCACCATTTTCATCGCGCAATTTAACAATTCCAATAATACCTTTAACATGGCTAAAAGTGTTGAACACGATAACTAATTACATTTGTATTAGTAACAATATTTTAAAAATTAGATTTACAAATGGCATGATTAGATCCAGTAAAATCCTCAAAGAAAAAAATTGAAAATTAAATTTATTATAACTTATTTACACGATGATACTATGTTAATTAATATCATCAATGATTCGATGCATGTCCAATATACCTGCTTATATTAAACAAGTTAATGTATGTGAAATATAATATTACACTCGTTTTTTTACCTGATAAATGAATGAACGTGGACATTAAACTGTAAGGCCAAGCAGCTTCTTCGCTAGTAAATCCCAAATTCCTCTTGAAAGCTTCATAAAATACACTTCTGGACTTTGAGAATCCCATTGTAGTAAAACTAGATATAAAACATGCAAAAACAATTACCCATGCCCAACCTTTATCTCGCGCATCATTGTCAACTTTAGTAGTTTCCATTATTAAAACTGAACCGATATCAGATCTTCTCCGCTAGCTTATTTAAATAATAATGCTTTTTATAATTACTGTATTTTAACATTTATAAATATTTTTGAGATTATTCCTTAAAAAATGAATTTTACACGAGTAATCCATTTTCCTGAAGTAATATCAATTAATAATAGTATTAATATCGTATGTTATCATCAATCGCAGTTGGAAAGAATAAGATTGCCAAATCAACAGAATAATGCACGTTTCCAAAGATAGATTATACTGTTTCTATTTATAAAGTACTTATCGTATTTGCTATATTTATGAGAATGATTTGTTTCTTTTTTCTTTTATGATGAAATTAAATGATTCCTAAAACCAATCTACTTCCTCCAAAATTAATTTTTGAAAATAAAATTTTGCACAATTTTGTATAATATTTTGATACATCACCCAATCCACAGAACAAAAACGTGTAAGGTTTCAAAATACTTCACCAAATTTAGTTTTTCTCTGTGAGCAATATTCCAATATTAAAACTTCAATCACTAATCGCTGGTCTCAGCTAGAGAGTTCATATTTAAATTTAGATGTTACAAAAACAACGCAACACATTAAACTGATTTTGTTTTACGTGACCTCGAAATCTCTGTTGGTTATACAACATAAAGGACTTTTAAAATGATTTACGTGATCAACAAAAAAGGTCTGGTTGTCCATACATTACTTCCTATGTAACTACATTAACAAAATTAATATAGCCTATCTTTAATGCTTTTGGAATAAAAAAGGATACAAGGGATTTTTGACTCACCCTATATCAATACATATATATAGACTATATACATATCAATACATTTTCTTGCATTTTCCACAAATACAAAATTATTCAGTATTTTTTCCAGTTCATTAGATGCTGTCCTTAAATATTCAGATTTTAACAAAATAATTCCTTATCCAATCTACAGAACAGCCTAGAGTAGAGGTTGCTAACCTTTCTGACCTCACGGACCACTAAACTCATAATTTTGAATCCCACGGACTACTATCATGACTTTTTTAAACGATACAAACATCTATACAATAATCATAAGTTTCATTTTACTTTATTAATATGAAATCCATTTGTTTAATTATAACAAACTAGCAGATAAGACCGGCGTTGTTCGGGCAAAAAGTAACGATAGCGAAGATTAAGATTATTACATTATAACCAATCTTATCCGTTTTTACAAAATGCAGAAATTAGGTCCTCCTGTTTCCAGACTAATTAGAAAATTTTTAGATGGGTCTAAAAATATGTTCGCTTTCTCGCAAAAAACTGCATCTGCGCCTGTAATGCATCTTGCACATCGCTTTCTCTTAACACTTTCCCCCCGGAAGTGTTAACAATGGAAGTGTTAAGAGAAAGCGATGTGCAAGATTTACAAGCGCAGATGCAGTTTTTTGCGTTTGGGAATTTCGAAAAATTCCTTCTTAGTTTACATTCTCGTGATGTACCCTGTATACCAAATTTCAACCTTCAAATCCTAACCGTTTGGGCTCTGCGCTTATCATCATCATCAACCCATCTGGATTATACATAGATTAGTATGAAGTTTGTTGCTGCTTGTTTGAAATAAGTTTATGGATTCTTGGCTCTTTTTTACGAAGAACAATCATACAACATTATTTATTGATTTATTAACATTATTATTTATTGATAACAGTCATTTTGTGTTTGGTTTTAGATTCGAATAAAAACCCGAGTGAGAAAAAGCAAACCAAGCATTTTGCATTTCTTTCGTAATACTTCGCGTAATCTTGAGTTGATCAATGTCCAAATTTCTTCACGGACCACCGGTTGGCGGCCGCTGGCCTAAAAAGTAACGGAAGCTTTGGGCAAAATATATATTAGGGCTCCTACAGGTAACTAGATTATTACATTAAAATGAAGGAAGTAAAAGCACAATGTATAGGAAGTAAAAAAAAAAAAAAAACGTAAAGGCATCCTTACTTCGTTTGAGCCTAGGGAATTTTCACTTCTGAGTGTTCCTCTCAAACAAGGAAACACAGTCAGTAGTATAACTAGGAAGAGAAATTGCGCCCATTGCTTTTTTTACGCCAAAATTTTTAATAGGGGAGCGGATGGGACTCCTATCACATTTTGTCTTACTTGTAATTTGACAATTCGGATCTATTTTTGCTTTCTCGGCTCTGTTATATATAATGAAAATATCCAAATAGAGGCCAATTTTCTACAAAGTTCTCCCGAGAAGCAGTCTCCCTCGGCCGATTGCCCCATGCATTACGTTGTCCTATCCCATCAATCAAATTTCAATTTCTCAGCTGTTATGTATACATAACAAAGTATTGGAATCGTGTCAAATTTGACCCTCCGAGTTTCTTGCAAATCTACACGTTTTGAAACCTCTGAATGCAAAAAAGTCAAAAAAAAAAATCGTGGATATTTGTGCAGAATTGTATTTCTCACCACGATGCTCATCACGATACACACTTCTAAATCTTATCTACGCTCATTGTATGAATTAAGACTGAATTTGTCTTGTCGACAAAGTAGTGACGTCGCTCTATCGTCAGCGTTCGTCATGAGCTGAAATTAAATAGATTTTTACGTAAAGATTAAGAGTTATTTTCCGATCTTTAGCTTATCCTAGAATTTCGAAGAAAAATATGATCTGTATCCGGGATATAAATAATTATATTTGGAATACATTATAAAATAAATTATCGTGGAGGGGAAATGATATTAAATGACAACTTTAAGAAATGAAAAATGATTATGTTCTGCAAACTCCATGATAGGTAAATAATATTGCTGTGTAATATCCGGCCTACTGTATGCACATGGCAGATGGATGTTCTGTAGGCCATTAAAGCGATTCAGAACTTCCTTGTGTGCACGACTTATCGTCCACAATAGTAAGGAAATGCATCTCAAGGCTTTCACCCCCGCCCTGTGGGCACTAAGAGGGCCTCTTTTATCAACCCATTGTGGGTTCGGCCAAGACCACAATGGGGCAGCCGAGTGGTGAGGGACGGGGACTAGCATATCGGACGGACCCCCCCTGAATTACTTAACAATTTTTATTTCTATTAATATAAAAAAAATTTCAGCCTGTTATGTTTGAATTTAGTATATTTTATGTCGATTGGTTTGGTTTATTTATACATGGCAACGCGAGACATGGGCGATCTTTATATTTTGCCATTACCAGTTTGATCATATGATGAGAGGGGACAGACAAAGATAAAAGTTGGATCCGAATTAAAATCCTGAATGGCAGGTAGACTTTTCTTCCTGCATCGTAATTTTTTATATGTTTATGTTGAATGTTAAATTGTTTAGCATCTTTTGTACACTTCAGTATTTTTGTCTTTTTCTTTTTTCATGCTGAATTCTTCTTTTAAAAGATCATTCACTTTGTTTAGAGGATATTGCAGATTATTTTCTGCTGTGAGGGCTGTCATCTGCAAAGCAAATTGTACTGAAGAGCTTGCCATTCACTTTAAGACCGTATATCGAGTATATAAATTCCCCAATCATTCTACTGTACGTAGTTAGGCAGGAATGTGGTTTATTACCATTACTAACTCCTTTCGACATTTTTATTTCTGTTTTATTTGCTTCTAATTACTGTATTATTAAATCAAAATTTTTATAATGTAAACAAATACTGTATATTAATTTTTCTTCAATATCTGAATATTTAAAGGAGACATCTAATTTATATTTAAGAAAACGTTTCTACTACAGTATTATATTTACATGAAACAAATTTATTTTCTTTAATATTATTCAAATTAATAAAGCACACTTTCTTCATAAATTTATTTCAAATGAAAAACAAAATAAATTACAAATCATTCTGATTTAACCTAATCAGTATTGCAATAAAATTGAACATATATATAATATTAAATATCAATTATTTTAAGTATAAACTATTATCTACATGCTTATTATGAACAGTCATAATATTGATATTTAATAAGATCAGTAAATACAACATGAAAGCTATTATCACAGAAACTGTAGCTTACAATATGCTTAAATTTTTAAGCATATAAAACAATTAGACATCAATTTTTTTTTTAATCAGACAATGTTAAATTTCTTAAATTTATATTCAAAATACAAAATGACATATAATGTATATAGGCAAATATTGAATGTAGCAAATTAAAAATATTTTCGTTATTTTAATACTTTTCTTTTGTATAATTATATAAAGAAAATGCTCAAAAAAATTAATATTTTCTCATTAAATGGAACAATCCTAATTTAGGAAAATGATATGCATATCAGCAAATCAGCTGATTGAGTGACAGAGTTTTGGTTATTGTATATGAAAGTGTTTAGATTTTTACGATTTATCAAAAGTAATTTCTCATAAATATGTTTAAAATTTATCAATAATGTGGACATGAAACATTTTTTTCATTTGTTTTTTCTGTTTGCTAGATAAACTGTATCCTTACAAAGGAGTTTGTTTAATATAAATATTAATACATTAAGATTTTAAAAACAATTAGCTAAAATTATCAAATCACTTATCGCTGTCTTCAATACCTCCTTGTGTCATCAGATCAGCAATGTTCTTTTCGAGATCATCTATGCGATGACCCATATCATCTAGTATGAAATGTTAAAGAAATTAAGACACAGGCACATAAAATTAATTTATTGGTGGTAATTAGAAATAGTAAGAATATTAATTATCTCTCATAATTTTTATTAGTAAATATAGCCACTCAGAATTTATTTGCTACTTCAAGTTTTATACATCGTTACTAATTCTAAAATTAATGGAATAATAATTAATTTTACCACAGGATGAAGGTCTAACTGTCTATCTTTCATCCAAGTTAGTCACAATGATTAAAATCTAGCAAAAGAATAAACCAAAAAAATTAAGCTTTTACTTCTAGATATTTAGTGATAACATATCTACAACTGTGTGTTAAA